GGCTCAAGGTTGACTCAGCCTTCCATCCTTCCATGGTGGGTAAAATGAGGACCCAGACTGTGGGGGCAATATGCTGACTCTGTAAACCGCTTAGAGAGGGCTGAAAGCCCTATGAAGGTATATAAGTCTTAACTGCTATTGCTATTGCTACCAGGTCGCTGGTGGGAGGCACATGCATGCGCTTTGGAGCTGACCTGGGCAACGGCTCTCATGCCCGCAGAGATGGCTCTGCGTGCCACCCGTGGTACGGGTGCCATAGATTCACCATCACAGTATTAGGACATCAACAGTATCCAAACAACTTATAGCTGAATAGCATTATTATTCTAGGAGGGTGGTGAGTGGGAGGCAGCCGTACAAAGTATTGTTAGGTAGCAATGATTACCAAATAAAGGGCTGTCTCTAACATTTCAATCAAAACGTACATGCTTGTGCAATAAGCACAGTGACCCATTCCCCACAACTATTTTCAGAAATGTATTTGTCCCTAAAGTATTATAGAGTTCTTTGTTTTCAAAAAATATAATAATTGGTGCTGCTAACACAATTATAAATAAAAAGGGAGATCAACCATTTTCTGCACTATATTGCTTAGCAACAAGGGCTAGCTTTCATGCATTGCTCATTAACTTGTTAATCAAGCTTTTTTTGTTCCTATTGCCTAGTAGGATTGGACAAGTTGGGAATTCATTTAGTGGAGTAAATGACAGTGTAAGATATTTTCAGGAACGCATTTGTGAATTTGGGGTTCGAAATTGTTTTCTTTTTACCCAGCCCTCATAAGTACCAGATCTCTGGAAAGCTTCTAGCATGCAATCTTTTAATTTGAAGCGGTGGGTGTTTTGACATCAAATGGAGCTAATGTTTACCTTCTTTTAAAGAGATATTGCACCATAAAAATAAAGAAGCTATCTTGAGGATGTTATTGATGTCTTTCAAAAACGTATAGAGCTATTTAATATTTTTATTTAAAGACAGTGTGTCATGAATATACACTATCAATATTCAGCTTTTTAGTCGAAAGAATTGGCCTTATTTCTTGCACAGTATGGCCATAATGTCTTTTTTCCCCTTAAAACTGTAAGATTTATTTGACCAAATGTATTCTTTCTTTCTTTATATCCATACATCTCCACTTAACCTTTATAATTTCTTGTAGGCACTGGATATCAATTGAGGGTCTTAGACAATCTCACTGAAGGTCAGAGTCTGATGATTGGAAGCAAAGAAATTGAAGTGATGGGTGTGATATTGGAAGAGGACTTTAAAAGTGGCAAGTGTTTTCTGTCTGGTCTGGAGGCCACAGAAGAAATTTGCAATTCCTCAGTTGCTTCTGCAAGGCAGTTTTGTAGCCCTTTCAAAAATGTTTCCAAAGCCAATACGAAAGAGAATTGGTCTAACTGTAAACCACGTCATGATCCGTTAGCTCCAAGTAAGGATTTACACTTGAGTTTAATCTATGTTAATTTGACTATTTCTGTTCTATCCCCTTCTAAAGAAAGTGAATTAGTAATCCAAATCAAATTCATACTCTCTCTAATTATAGCGCTTATATTGGAATTTCACTCCGGTCATAGTCCCAACATATAAAGCGGAAATTAACTTGGGGAAATTAAATGGGTGAATTGGATAACCCAAATCGAACTTCTTTCTCTTGTTCTCAGAATCGCAGTATAAAATAAAACTAGACACTGTGGATATGATGATATCTAGATGGACTGAAAATGACATATCTGAAAACAGAAATCATATGTACCATATTTTTCGGAGTATAAGATGCACCGGAGTATAAGATGCACCAAGATTTTGAAGAGGCAAATTTTTTAAAAAAGTTTTTGCACTCCGCAGACCTCCCCAAAACGGCCCATTTTTTGTAAAAAAAAAAGGGGGGGCATGCATAGCCTTTAGGAGACTTGTAGAGTGCTCCCTGGGAGGGGGGGGCAAAATTGAGCAAAAGCTGCCTGTTTTTCACTCATTTTTGCCCTCCCCGGCCCCCAGGAGCACCCTGGAAGCCTCCTAAAGGCTATGCACTGCCATTTTTCCAAAGGGGGCGGGGTTTGGGGAGCCAAAAATGCTGTATTCAGTGTATAAGATGCACCCAAATTTTCACCCTCTTTTTTGAAGAAAAAAGGTGCATCTTATACTCTGAATGGCCTGAATATAAATTCTAGACACTAAGCCAGCGATCAAGAATTATGGAAAATACAGTTGCAACAAGTGTCATTCCTTGTCAGTTCTGAACTCAATTTTGTTTTAGGTTGCTTCTCACTTAGAGCATGCTATAGATCCCTCACAATTATTTTAAAGTAGCATGCTTATCTACGGAAGACGGGGTCAAAGCAAACATTTGAAAACCCAGGCCAGACTACAATAGTTTGTTAAACTATTTATTCAGTATAATGGATATTGGAACAAGGATTCTTTCAGGGTCTTCAGTCTATACCAACGTAAGATTATCTGTGTATCAGCAATATACACTGAATGGAAGAGTCAGTATAAATGTGGGGACATTTGGGAACATCCTGTTTCAACCTAAGAATAACCTTTCTATGGTCAGAAGAACCAGAAAGATTTCTTCATTTTTCCAACTTTACTCAAACTTCTACCCATTTAAAATCAGATCTTAGTAGCCTATTTCAAGTTTATTTATTAATTTATTTGATTTTTATGTCACCTTTTTTTACTTTATAAGTAACTACATATATCATTTTTCCTCTTCCTCCTCCTATTTTCCCTACAACAACCCTGTGAGGTGAATTGGGCTGAGAGAAAGTATCCAGCCCAAAAGCAGTCAGCTGACTCAAAATGTTTGATACATTCCTAAAAGTTGGATTATGTGGGAAATTAATTAAGGTTGAAATATAACCCAGTGAAGCAAAATGTCATTTTGTTGATTTTATCTTAAGAAATTCTTGAACAAATATCACCATGTATTTCAGAATTATAAGTTTTTCCTGTTTGTTTAATATTAAACATCTTAGAGAAGGCTGTTTATATGACATTGCTAATTGTGTATTTAACTATGTCAATTTGAGGATTAAAAGAGTAGGGTTATTTGCATGTTTTGGTTTGAATTTGAAAAATAATTTTTTGTTGTCTTTCACCTAGAAAACTGGTTGCTTTTGTTTTAAGCTAATACTTTTTCACTGACACCTCCTATGTTTGAAATTTAAGATTCCTTGGTTATGCCATATCCGTGCCCAAGTCACCAGCGATTGTTTAACAAGTCACATTTGCCTATTGTGGATGTGGTAGTAGACCCTTACATCACAAGCCATCTTCGCCCACATCAGCGAGAAGGAATTCTATTTCTTTATGAATGTGTGATGGGAATGAGGTAAGAAGATGATGGTTTCCTGGTTCTTGAACTCTCAGTCTTTCAGGATGTTGGTGATTTTGGGAAAAGCTGATGCATTTGCCATTGGAATATTGTAAAAACCTTAAGTGGTAAAGCTGAGGAGAGAAAGATATGCTCATATAGGTGCAATTTTCAGCAACATTTTTGTGAATGTGAGATGACTATGGGGGAACTAGGAAGAGGTGGTTTAGGTTTAGGTTTTATTTGCATTTGTAGGCCGCCCTTTTCCCTGAGGGGACTCAGGGCGGCTCACAGAAAA